ACACTATTTATTCACTCATACACTTATTTATCTAACACACACACTCAGTCTACATTTCAATTTGCACATAATATACCTGTACATACAACTGTCTATTGTTATATACCTGTACATACAATTGTCGATTTGTATATTTTTATTCCGTATTTTACTTGTTTTATTTTTTATTTATTTAGATTTTTTATTATCTGTGTTTTTTTGTTCCGTCACTGTCATTCTGTTGCACTGTGGAAGCTTCTGTCACGAAAACAAATTCCTCGTATGTGTAAACATACCTGGCAATAAAGCTCATTCTGATTCTGATTCTGATTCTGATAAAACAATGATGTTTTGACCATCATCCGACATTGAAGTGTTTCTTAGGTGTTTTAAAAGAACCTGTACAACAGGCAACATTATATCAGAATCTGTAGATTTTATTTGATCATTTTTTTATTTCTTACAAGTTATCCATTAATTATTATTCTTATGAATTACATAATTAAGTATTACTTAAATACATTTTTTTACACATTTTTTTCTCTGAACTTTCCCTCTCACCCCTTAGCACTCCCTTGTCAGCCTTTGGGGGTCCTGGACCCCACTTTGAAAACACCTATATTAGATTAGACTAGGCACTTAGGTGTTTTAAAAGAACCTGTACAACAGGCAACATTATATCAGAATCTGTAGATTTTATTTGATCATTTTTTTATTTCTTACAAGTTATCCATTAATTATTATTCTTATGAATTACATAATTAAGTATTACTTAAATTTTTTTACACATTTTTTTCTCTGAACTTTCCCTCTCACCCCTTAGCACTCCCTTGTCAGCCTTTGGGGGTCCTGGACCCCACTTTGAAAACACCTATATTAGATTAGACTAGGCCAGATCTCATTGTCTGTCTGTTTCCAGGTAAGACTGAGGCTCTGAACGCAGGTGCCATCGCCCCTCTGCTGCAGCTGGTGGTGAGTGAGAATACAGCGGTGTGTGCCAATGCCCTCCGTGCCCTTACAGTCCTGGCAGAGGTTCCTAGGGCCCGGGCAGAGCTGCTGGAGCATGTGCCTCTGCTGAATACCAGACTAACACACCCCAACACCATCATCCACAGAGCTGCATCCACTGCCATTGAAGTCATCTCCTGGAAACCATGAGAGAAACAAGAGTTCTCCTGATACAAGACCTGGTGGTGTGATTTAAAAGAAAGAATTAGCCACATAAAACACACTCATTTTATAAAGAAAAATAAAGTTAAAAGATCAGAATGATATTAAGAATTCTGGGGGATGTGACGTTGTTTGTTTAGAACGCAAAATCTGCGTAGCAACTATTCCAACTTGCGTACGTGACTGAAACGTTTCATAAATGTTAGTTGATATAGTATAGACGTGATAAACGTGTACTGAAAGGCACCATATGTCGCTTTCTTTTGGTGTGGTTTAATCCCGGTGTAGTGTAAATGTGCAGTGTCATGCTTTCGGAAAACCCCTCGGTGCGGCGTATGGATTAAACCAGCGGTCAACGGCAGCGAGCACGTTCTCGCTATCTGTCACACGGCATGCGGAGTCACGGCAGATAAATATTTGTGGCTGCTATTTGGCAAGCAGTCCGAGCGAATACAGGACAGGCGCTGAGTTTGGTTTGCCCGCTCCATTCTATAAAGTCATATTTATTTTTGTGGAATTAAGCGGGAGGATTATATCGCAGGGAGGAGTGCAGGTGGAGGCTGTGTATTTTGGGGTCATATTTGCTGGATAGGTAAGTTTATACTTCACATACAGTATCTGTTCGAATAAATTCAAGTGAAATTATTTGAGCCAGCGCAAGAAATGCTCAAGGATTCTACCGCAGCGAGTGCCTGTCTGTTACTCAAACATCTATAACATATAGTATAGGTTAGCCTTCTTCTTTAAGTCGAATGGTAATATTAAAGTAATCAAACCAAGTGCACGTTGTGGCATAAGAAGATGTGTCTTGTCTCTTCGTAAAGATAAAATCACAAAGCGCCACAGGATTGATGTAGTCTGCGAGATTATGGCAGTGGATGATGCGATGCTTTTACATAACACAAGGCGACAGAGCCGGAGAACAGGTGCCTATGGCAAGCCATTTCAACACTTAATAGTATCCGTTTCATATGTGACTAGTACTTGCATGCTGCTAGTAAATAATAATAAAGCAACTAGAATCTATTTCAGTTTGACTAGCTGTTGACTAAAACTTGATTTTCTGCTATTCATCATCCCTGTATAGTGGCAAGTAACTATTCCATTTTTACCTGGTGACAAATTTCACATATGCAATTTGGCAAAGATAGAAATGACTAGCGCATTTTTGCTGGTGCCTATTTCAGTTTTATTCATTAGATGCTAACTATCCCAATGGTTGCTAGTGTCTATTCTATCTTTACTTTATTAGCACTAGATACCCATCCTATTTATTAGATACTAGTCTCCCTGGCCTGGCCTCTGATGGATTGGCAATGGAAATCAGTTTTACGTGTTTAGGCCAGATGTCCAGATATCGAATATGTATGTGATTCAAAGCCACATTTAGAAGTGGCTCAGAAGGATGCAAAAAATCTATCTCGTGCAGATTTTTGTGTTTGCATGTGTGCAACGATATCCAACCTGTGTAAAAAAAATTATTTTTTTTGTGCCAGTGTAAATGAAGCCTATATGAGATAGAAGTATCTATCCCAAATATTAATAGTAACAATTTATATCTCACTAGTTACAACTGCTTTCTGTACTTGACATATGTAATGACTAGTCGAAATCACTGCTTTAAAACCCCCTACCTAGATTAAAAATATTATTAGAAATACACAGTAGTCTCTAAAAAGTATGTATGCCTATTCAGTTACTTCTAGAAAAACTGGAATAGATACTAGTAACTATCTGAATAGTTGCAAACAAAAATACTAGTACCTAATGAATAATTATTAGCAAAACTAGTACCAGTAAACACTTTAAACAAATATTTGAAGAATATTTGAATATATATATATATATATATATATATATATATTCACAAATATACTGTATGTGAATATTTGGTGTCTGAACCACTGATTACAAAACAATAGTTACTTGTCACTAATAGCTAATTTAATAGGTATTAGTTACCACTGAAATAAGTACGTTTCTAATAAATAGCAGCCAGTTAAGGTAAAAAATATATATACTAGTCACTTGGATTTTTTACTGGTAATTCAAAAAATTCATCACTAGTTGGAACGTAATGGCAAAGCAATAAATGATAAAAATGGATTGCCATAGATGTGTGACACTGATGGAGAAAAAAATTAGTCTGAAATATAAAAAGAATATTCTCAACCATTTTACATCCTGCTCTTTGAAAACAGTGAATATGTTTGTATACGGTGTATTCTTTAGTTGCGTCATACTATATATAACGCAGACAATTTTGAGGCAAATCCTACAGGCTATATCTTATATTCTAAGTTGTAGCTTTGTTTTAAGTGTTTCGCCTGAAATCTCAGAGGAATATACAGCGTGTTAATTACTGAGACCATCAGTCCCCTGATCATAAAAGATCTTAATTATCAGTAGCTGATGCAATAAACTCTCTCTGTACGACAGGTTTCTGAATCCAATTAACCGGTGGCCGTCAATACTAACAACTACTCAAAGTCTGCCTGAGCTCATGAGCAGACATCTACTTGAGCAATTCAATGTTATCTATTTATATGTAACTTTAAACCAAACACCCACATTTCATGCTGTTTCTTTAAGCAGGGCCAGATTATGTAATGCACCTCACATCCATATACAGCACCTTTGAGAGGATGAAGGTATGTGGCCAATATAATTGAGATCTGTGGATCAATTGACCACATGTAGCAGGCCATCTGCTTGCTCAAAAGCAGCCATCTGCTGTGATGACTCATCAGCCAGTGTCTTACTGCTTATTAAAGACGTCTCTGAAACCCACTATCAATCACAGACAATAAGCCCTTTACGTACTATGAGGCTGATTCGGTAGGTGTTGAAAAATAGGCTGTTTTTATATAAAAATACATATTCTTGTGTCAGTGACTGGAGTGCATATGCAACACAATTATACTCTGCAGCCAGGGACACATTTTTCTCTCATTAAAGGGGTCATATGATGCGATTTCAATTTTTCCTTTCTCTTTGGAGTGTTACAAGCTCTTGGTGCATAAAGAAGATCTGTAAAGTTGCAAAGACAAAAGTCTCAAATCCTAAGAGATATTCTTTATAAAAGTTAAGAGTCAACCACGCCTACCTAAAACGACTCGTTCTAACACGCCCCCACATATCTACGTCACTATGTGGGAAGATTTGCATAACGCCGCCCAAATGTTCACGCAAAGAAAGAAGGCATAACTTTTATTCTCGCTGTAGTATTGTTGTTGCTGCCACCATGTCGTGAAGGCGCTGTGTGTTTCGTTGTGAAAGCGAAACTACTTTGTTTGGCCTTCCAAAAGAGGACGATATCTGCTTCGTCATGCCTGGAGCTGATCCGTGCTGGTCGCTGAGGAAATACATCAACTTTGCACTGTCGATCACCGGATCGGCTTTCACCGTAGACGAAGCGGAGTCCAACCCGGGGTCGTCACATGTGGTTGCCGCAAGCACTACGGACGCTCCTTCGTCGAATCTGCCGGCCGCGCCATTCCCAAGCCCGCCCACCACCGCTCACTCAAGCCGGCCTCCGCAGTCATTATAATCCATAATTATGTCCCCACTGGATGCAACGAATAACTCGTTTATAATGGGTTTTAATGTTTTTGTCTCATCGGACAGGGCATCACAGTATGGTAGGGGTGTAACATTTCCGTAACATGCTTGTGGTATTCGGCCAATCACAACGCACTGGATAGCTGGCCAATCACAGCACACCTTGCTTTTCAGACCGATAAGCTTTGTAAAAATCGACACGTTTCAGAAAGGCGGGGCATAGAGGAGAAACAATAATGTACAGTATGTGGAAAATAATGTGTTTTTTTAACCTTAAACCGCATAAACACATTTCATTACACCAAATACACAAAATAATGTTCTTTTTAGCAACATCATATGACCCCTTTAAAACAAGGACCACCGGTGCATGGCAACAGGTTGTCATGACAGTAGGACCAACTTTATACTCATCAGCAAACATTATTCTTATGCATAAACATAACCACCGTGATCTGGCATCAGGATGTTGCATGGATGTGTGTTTAGTGAAAACAGTGTTTGGATGAAGTTTGAGATTTGTTTGAAGAGCGTGAGCCTGCTTGACAAGTTCATTCACCGGATGGATTTGATTACATCCTTAGGACAGAATAAAGCAAAGATTTATGTTTGAGTCCTTTGTACTCGCGCTTCAAGCTTCTTAACCAGGGAGGGATTACATAGGACCCTTCTATAGGATTTTTAATTAAAATGTGACCGACCCCTTTGCAATCTGATAGACCCGTGCAGGGATGAATGGATAGGAATAGGAGAGGGGGAACAAGGGTAAGTTGATGGATATGAGGAGGCAAAATATTGCACAGTTGATTTTTCCATTCTTATTAGTTTTCAGTCACTGTATTTACAAGAGTGGATTTGAGCTTGTATTGACTAAATCATTGGCTGCCTGATTCAGCTTTAATTGGGCGTTTGTAAGGAGTGTCAAGCTTTAGCCTGGTGTAATGGCTTGAGATTGATCTCTGAAGAGGGGGAAGATGGTTCCTGCTTGTAGAAAGCAGAGGGCTGATGGCAAACGTCTGAGTTTTAGGGATGGAAGATGGGATGGGAATGGGGCTAAAGAGACAAAACCAGAGCGCAGGGAAAGAGTGTGTCTAGAAAAGTGAACCCTGCAATGTTTCAGAGGAAGAAAAACCAGACCAAAGCAAAAAAGAGTTAAGTTAGATTATACCTTATACCGCACTAAAAACCTGTATGACTTATGTGGAATTATAAAAAAATATACCTTGAAGAATGTCTTTTTGTCAGTGCAGTGAAATTTAGTAGATTCTGTTTGTTTTGGCCTCTGTTGACTCATTGTATGAGCAAAAATGTGATGACATGATAGACAATGATAAATGTTTTTCAGGTTCACCCAGAAATGAAAGTTCTGCATCATTTACTCACTCTCATATCATTTCAAAACCTGTGGAACACAAAAAGAAGATATTATAAGTCAGTGGGGAATTGTTGGGCAAGTGACTGAATTTTTAAATAAGTGAAGCTTGATGTCAGTATCCACAGAGTAGCTGAAATAATACTGTTATTTTTATTTTATTAATGTAACTTAAATTTTGTAGCTTGCTGGTTCCAAACTGTCTGGTATTAGAGATGGAGATTTTCAATTAATCTTTCTGCAGTTAACTTTGTTAAACCAGTAGGTGGCGACAAGTTACTGTCTTTAAGAATGAGTCATTGAATTAGTCACTCAACCAATTCATTCAAAAAATGCATTATTTATTCATCTTTTATTTTTTTATTTTTTTATCCCTCTACCTTGCAGCTTGCATTTTTCAAAAATAAAAAAACTGTTTACACAGAATGCATTTTTGTATTTCACTGTGCTGATTTTCCAGTGCTTTTTCTTTGTAAACGTGCTAGTCAGACATTTGTTTTGTCACTTTTCCTCATGTTTTTCGTGCACGACACCTGTTCTTAATATGCAATGCTCAAGTTAAAACCGTTCAACTTTTAAAAATGGCTTTTCTGCATTTTTTCCCCATTCCACCTACTATGTCTAATGTTTTTCAACACATTCTGTGTAAATGGCCCTAA